TTTAGCTAATGGGACCACCCGCTGCTGCCACGCCGCCAGCACACGATTTCTGTTCTCATCCTGAAGCAAAGTTCTTAACCCGACGTAATATTTCTGGGTTAGTGGAGTCTGTAACTGAAGCGTCTGTAACCTGAAGTGTTTGTAACCCGAGGTACCACTGTATCTGTTGGATCAGATTCCCACCCAGCTCAGCTCAATCTGGGAGTCATCCAGGTTCATAGAAAGTAACATTCTGCTTTTAAAACAAGGAGACTTTGAGCCAAGGGTGTGGAAACCTTTTGAGCTACATTGCCTCATGAGGAATCTTCCGGGAGGACATTCTAATGGTGGGCAGGGCCAGAGGCAAGAGAATATGGTTGAAAAAATTAATGCCACTCTAAACTTAACGTAGTAGGCTACATTCCAGGCTACACAAAAGGCAGACATTTCTGTACACCTTTACACAAGCAAGAGGTACATTCCATTTCAAGGACACATTCCAGATAGGCATGTGATTCAGAGCAAGGCCTGTGAGAAGCATGACCAGGAAATCAGTTGCGGCCTAGGAAGAGGCCTAAGAACAAGATGGAGAGACTAGGAGACTCACAGAGGGAGTTTGGGCCTGAGGTCCCTCCTCCATACTTAAAACTCTTCATGACTATGGCCCTGGGGAGGAGTGCCTCAAGCTACTGGCTAGATGTTGGCTAACAGTTCAACACTATCAGTTTCAGGTAGCCCAGCTGTATCACTTTGTTTCCACGCCATTTCAGATGAGCTGCCACAGGCAAAGTCGGAGAAGGAAGTTTTCTCCACATGGAGTGGAATACTTCCATTGTTTTCTGTTAATACAACTAAAAAACTGCTAATACAACTAAAAAACTTAAATAGTAAGGAACTATCATAAGTAAAAGACTGAATACTGAGACCCCCGAGATAATAGCTAGATAAGCTGGGCCCATCCTAGCTAAGTTGGGTTCCCCCTGCCTCCCACAGGCTCCTCTAAATTCTAACACATAACAAGGCTTTCTCCATTGAGAATTATAATAAGCCCCATGTCTTTATGGAGATCCATCTGGCATAGTAGGCCAAGGGGATTCTGGATCACATCTGTCAGCTACAGTCCTTGTTATTCCTTCATCTGCTGTTCTTGATACTGGAATGCCTTTCACACAGGTCTTCATGTGGTTAGGAATCATGCAATAAAATGAACTAAAATTGGTTGTAAAATAATACGAACAACAACAACTACAACACCAACAACTCAATATATTTTTTACAAATAAACACCCAAGGCTGAGACCTTTAAAAAAGTTGGTAACACTTTTCAGAACAAAATGGCTTCATTTGTTTCTGAAAGTATGAATTCTGGGCACCTGATGTATCTCAACGTGGATGATGTTCCATAAAACAGAGACAGCCACACAGACAGTCGTGCTCCAAATTGCTGTAGAGTGGATTTCTCATATTTTTGCCAGGGTGCTGCTATCCTTCCCAATGGGGGATTCTGATTATTTTTTTCACATGCACAGAGTATACTTCCTTCTTTCTTAATTAACCTGCTGTACCTATAATTAGAGCAGTTAAACTATGGATTTTCCTCAGGCTTTATTGGTGAAGTGGGGATGCTAACTGGCATTAATGACTGTGACTGCAGAACAGGGGAGGGGGAGCATTTAATTAATACGAAGTACAAAGGTGTAATCTTGTATGTATTCAGCCACCACCACAATGTAGACACCATCTCATTGTTTCTGTGTGAGTGGAATCATGTGATTTAAGTGTCTTGGATTTGTTTGGTATTCTTTCAGTATATATAGAATTTTGGGGGGAGGCGAATAGGTTTTCTGTCTACGTGGTTTCCATTTGTCTGTTGATTTTGTGTGTGTGATTTTGCTTCCATGCTTAATCATAGGGACGCAGCATTATAGTGTTGTGATCTGCTCCCCAACAGAACACTTTTTGTGGGTGTGCAGCTCCTTTTATTGTTTTGTGTCTTGAGCAGTACCTTTATGGACTGTTGATTTTTAAAAAAGGTTTTCTTATTTCAATAGGCTGCCCTTCAGCAAAGCTATTAGGGTGACGTCCAACATGAATCAATATAATTATATAAAATTATGTACAATCACACTTAGGAAAACAGCAGAGCAGAATAGCAGCATTCAAATCCAACATACAATAAAACTTCATCAATGCAACTTTTGAGTTTTGTTGTCTGTCTTGGTGCCCAGGATTGTCTTTGATAATGCGAAAAGCACTCAAGATCATTCAAGTTCATATGAGTGAACCTGGTGCCTCCAGGTGGTGTGGACTACAACTACCATCATTCCTGACATTTGTCTATGCTTGATGGGGCTTCTGAAAGTTGTAATTCAAAACACCTGAAGCATGTTTAGCTTGTTGAAGGATTATATGTACCCCGGTTGGTGATGGGGAACTTGCAGTCTTCCTGATATTGTTGGACTCTTAAGTCCTGGGCCAGTGGCTATGCTGACTGATGGGAGCTGGAGTCCAATGGAATTTGGAGGGCCACAGGCTCCCCACCTGTGGAGTGGAATGAGGGGTACATCTTACTCTCTGTAAAAAATGTGGCAACCTACAGAACTGCATAAGTCAGAAGACTTGAAAAGATTTCCTGAACCGGAAGATTCGAAGACACTTATCAGACCAACGTGACACTTGGTTAATGAGTCGTTTCTCCAGTGTTCTTTTTTATCTTCTTTATTACAGTGAAACAACAACCCAAAAAAATAATAATGAAATGCTGTTTCATTTTTCAAATCCTTTTGGCTTGATATCTGTTTTTCTGGCATGCCTCTTATACATGCCATTTTCTGTCTAATTAAATAATAATTCTAACCTCACTTGTGGCACATCACATTTTGAAAAGGCACATTGAGGAATAGAAACGCATTTTGACAGCCCCTCTACTGGTTTTTCACTGCCAAATGGTGGTGGGGTTTTTTATATATATGAAAAAAGATTCAAATGTCTTGACTACAAAACAGGATGAAGTAAAAGTTATATGTATTTGTCAGTCACTTCACATAAATTTATTTCTTCAGTTATTTCTCACATATACAGGCAGGCCCCATTTACATGGGGGTTATGAGCCAAGGCACCATGTACATTGGTGAAATCACGTATAACTGAAACCCATTGAAAAAACCTGCAAACACCCTGCTCCACTCCACCCCCATTCTGCCCCCGTTCCACCTTTTAGTGATGTTTCAGTGATGTCCTTATAATTTTTCTAAGTCACTTCCAGGTTTGGATCGTTGTGTGTATACACACTGAGCTTTATGGAAGAGTGGGTATTTGAACCCTTGTCTCTAAGAACATAGTCTGACACTCTAACCGCTACACCACACTGCATCGTTGCTCATTGCAGCACACTGTCATTGTTTTAATGCTGCTAGCCAATACTATGTAAGAGTCCGTTTGTGTGTTTCTTATGCATTCATAATCCATTTTTCCTTTCTTTTTTGGGTTGGAGGTTATAAAAAGTGTCCTAACATTTTTTTAGATGCATTGGGTGATTTTAGATGTGTAATCCAGCACAAAGGCATGTCTAGAAGCAAAGCCACTACCTTCCAAGTAAACAGGGCTGTTATCAGGCTTAAACGGAATAAAAATTGAAGCACCATTTCGCTGTGCTATTAAACCACAGGCTTGTCGCTATATGCGTAGATTTCAGAATTTCCGTTTAGTCAGAAAGGCACATTCATGAGAACCAATTGGACCAGATCAGTTCTATGTTTTAGGCTGCTGTTAGAAATCAGTTGCATGAGATTTTGTTGGCAGATATCTGTGGGAAGGGCTTTAGTTCAGTGGTAGAGCCTCTGCTTTGAATGCAGAAGACCCCAGGTTCAATCCCTGAAATCTCTAGGTTGGGTTGGGAATATCCCTTGTCTGAAAGTTCTGGAAAGTTGCTGCTGGTCCACATGGACAATACTGAACCAGATAGACCAATATTTTGATGTGGTACTTGTTCCCTAATGGAGATTTTATGCCAATTATGTTTTGTTAAAAGGTTTGTACGTGTGACGATATGTTATTTCTCTTTTCCTGGATTCTGTTGTCATCTTTGCCTGGCATGGGTGGGCTCCAAGGGCTTGTCTACACTTCCACTTGTCCTGTGCCTAGAAAGCATGGATCTGAGCAATTCTTTTGCTGGACCCATGCTTTCTACGTACAGGTCCAAGCGGTTTTCCCCTTGCCCCACTCCTTCCCAGGGAAAACCCGCTCTTGCCATTTGCTCTGATTGAGTGCTAAAGAGTGGTTTTCCTCGGGGAAAAGCAGCAGGACAAGAGGAAGTGTGGATAAGCCCTAACATCTTTCATTTGCCATGGCTAGCAAAAGAACTTACAACACCAATATGTTTAAGAAATTTTGAGAATAGCTTACATTTTCTTTACAATAGAATATCTGCACTATAATAAACCAAGAGCTCTCTAATAGGTTATTTCCAGTAATTAGGAGATGCAGTTTTATAGTCATCTTAGAGTTCCTTAAAAAATAATACATATGAAATCATACATATTTAATTTCTTAACTGCACATTGACAATCTATATTTTAAAAGATATCCATCAAAATTAATTCTAGATCAACATGCTTTCTCAAGTCATTTTAGTACTATTCTTTTTTGTGTTTGAACTACCATTCAGCAATGAATCAACATAATTATTGCAAGCTATATATTGTGATAGCCTTAATAACAGATTTGCGTTTACCATTTTGTTGCCTCTTTTGTACTCTAATGATCTCTCTGAGCTGTGCATCGCAGAAAGTAATCTGTGTTGTGCATGTCAAGCCATTCATGTTAATGTTCAACAATCCAATAGGTTTTCTGTTTAAAAGGAAAATGGGGAATTAAAACAGTTTTGCCATTTTCTATCCAGAAACTGTTAAAGCATTTTTTAATAAAAAAAGAATAATGTGAATGGGAAAAAAAAGACCAACAAGAATTTATTATATCCTTTTTCCTTATTCCACATTGTGGTCCTGATCCTGATCCCACAGAAGTCAGTGGGGGATTTGCTGGCCCTCGGCTGTGGAATTGCCTTCCACCAGAAATCAGGAGGACCATGTCTCTTCCCTCGTGCCAAGTGAAATGTAAGACCCTCTTTTTGCAAAAGCCTTCCCTATATAGCATTTTGCTACTTTATACATAAAGGGCCTAGGACTTCTGCCCACAAGATAAAGGAAAGAGCATTCAAATCAGAAGCGAAAGATGTACAGTTTGATAGCAACATGTTTGGGGATAAGGTTCACCACATGGTCTCACTGACTACTTTGTGTGATTTTGTAAACAACTTTCAACTATTGTAGGGGAGGGGAAAGAAGTTTGCTTTGCATTTTAAAATGGAAACTACATAATTTGCACTTCTTGAAACAACATGCAAACTAAAGCTTAATTATCCTTCAAAATACATATATTAGTAAAGATTAACCTACAAAAATGCATTATATTAGAAACAGTTGTTTGTAAAAAGTATCCTTAATTATCCTTCAAAATTTTCACTTCATCAAATTTTGTGAAGCGGTACTCCAACCAAAAAAAGATATACAGAAATGCATATAATAAGCAAAAGTGTCTGTAAAAATGCATATATTAGTAAAGATTAACTGACAAAAATGCATGCTGTTAGAAACAATTCTTATAAAAAATACACACTTAAATGCTGATGAATTTTCATGAGGATTTTAATAATAATCTGAAACTGATATGGAAATGAAACAATTTTAAGTGAACACTGGAAAAATGACAAACTGAAGTTGATACTCTCATCCATTCCTGAACAGTAGGGATGGAAATCTTAGGTAAATGAGCCACAATGCTTAAGAATTTTCTTTATCCAACCCTGAAACCAACATAAATCTTTCCATCAACATCTATGTATCCCTTAGATATTTATTTTTACAAAGGGAGAAACCAGTAGGACTGTGTTAAGAACCCCAAACTATATTCAAGATTATTCTAGGCTAGAATTCTGGATTGTATGTGCCTAGTACACATAGACCGATTTTGGAAGTCTAAGGGCTCTGAAAAACCAGCAAGGTGGTCTAGATCTAGATGTGCAATCTGAGAATATTGGACAATAATTCAACTTACAAATACATGTTTCTCATTTACTGTTACAGAGGCCCTAAGCTATATGATGGTTCTTTCCCCTATTCCATTGAGTAATAAGGGAACAAGGGAAGCTCCAATGTAAGATGTGATGATCTGATGAACTGCAGCCACTGCCTTGGAGCCACATTCTAAAAAATATGACTTGTCACATTAACTCAGGAACATGGAACATGTGGCCCCCAGATGTTAGACTCCCAGCTTCCATAAACCCCAGTGCTTAGCATGAGCATGTGAACTCCCATGGTTTGGCTTTTCATGTTGGACAGTGGAATGGACTCCATTGAGAGGTGATGGACTCTTTTGGAAGTTTTTAAGGAGAGGTTGGATGGTCATCTGTGATGGATGCTTTAGCTGAGATTCCTGCAGGGGGCTAGACTAGAGGCCCACAGATTAGCTACCATGTTCAAGAGGAACAGGAAACAAATTTGATGCAATGTCTATGTCAGGTTTTTTTTTCCTGGCCCAGCCATATCTTTATCTTTTCCTGGCCTTATGAACCAATTGATAAAAATATGGATAAATGAATCTTTTGCAATATTAACGCCATTCACCCCTGTCGCCCAAATCTAAACACCTGAAGTTTGGTATGAACTCATGGTCTCCAACCAAACACTGATGCACCTAGATCACAGGTCACCAGTGTGGTACCTATGGATGCAATGGTACCCTTGAGGCCATCGTCTTACACCCATGAAACCTTTGAACCTCCCACCACTACCTCATTTGGCAATGAGGTAGGTAAATACATTCTCCCCCCCCCCTCCCGAAAAATAAATTGAGCTGAAGAAGGAACCTGCAAAAGTGTCTCTCTTCCCCACTTCCTCTTTCAGCCTTCTGTGGCTTTCAATGTTTATTCTTCTGAAGTGCCTAGAGCAGGTGATACTCATAAGACTCACTTAAGACTCCAAATGCTCATGGGCCTAGAAAGGTTGCTGACCTCCAACAGATGCATCACACACTTCCCCCCATTTAATATTTCCTTTATTAATATAGGCACATCATCACCACATGTCAAATTTGGCACCACATGAAAGAAGGATAAATATATGCAGAATGAAGGGTAAGATCAACCCTTCTTACTTAGAAAGTGCATTGTACTTTGTCAACATTAACTCATTTAGGCTGTCAAGTCAGCCTAAAACCAGTCCGTTCACTGCCTTGTTTTTAGCCAATTACTGAGTTATTAAAATTAGTTATTTTATTAGTTAGTTATTAAAATGTGTAATGTGTTGTCCAAATCAGGAGATACACCCAAATATGCCAGGAAGCTTTGGGCACCATTGCATATTCAAATGTTTTGGTTACAGTTTTTCATTTTAATCTGCTGCTCATCAAATAGTAATATAATTTGGTTAATGCTCTTCGCCCCAGGAGATAGCAGTATATAGTCTCTTATGATTGCAGGTTTTGGTGTCCTCGGGTGTCTTCCCGTGTAAAAGTTGGGGTGTCTAGGCGACGTTTCGACGAGGTCTCACTCGTCATCTTCAGGCTGGTGCTTTCGGCTTCTTGTTACTGGAACAGAGCAGGATCTCAGTGTTTGAGTTCCTATAAATACTGTTGAGGGGGTGTGGTGTATAGCCTCCAATGTTCTGGGCAGAGAGGAAGTTCCCAGGCTAGTGTGCCTTTTCTTCTTTTGTTCCTTAATTACTTGAGGGATATCTTGAGTGATTTCTTGAGTGATATCCTGAGTACCACTTAGGTGGGTCATTAGGTGTGGATTAGTTGCTAAAGCCTTCGTGTCTTGACCTCTTGAACTTTGTGAAGAGTTTTTCTGAGAAGATGGCTGTACTGCATTTAGTTGTGCTTTGGCTTGGCTTCGTGTATAGGGGCGAGCTGTGGTTTTGTGTCCTGTGCCAGCCAGATCTGTGTAGGGATTGCAGGGGGGTGCAGCATCCGGAGGTGCCACCATGGTTTGGCTACTGGATGGTGTCTGTAATTTATCTGTGGAGAGGGTCTGGGTTTGGGTCTGGTGTGGTTGATTGGTGATGGCGTTCTGTGTGCCTCTGGATCTGGTGTCGGTTTTTGTGGGGAGGGCTAATTTCCAGATGTCTGGCAGGCGGGATGTGTCGTCACGCTTGTTCATGTTGTGAGGGTGTTTCTCTATCTCGATGGCTTCCATGATTATTCTCTTGTGGTGATGTTCCATGTTAGAGAGCAATTTGGAATCTGCAAAATTAATTTCGTGTCCTGTTTCTTTCATGTGTTGGAAAAGAGAGGAAGTTTTTTCTTCTTTTTTGACGGCATTCTTGTGTTCTGCGATACGTGCATTTATTCGTCTGTTTGTTTGTCCAATGTACGTGGCTGGGCAGACTTTGCAGGGTATTTCATAGACCCCTTGGTTTTCCAACTGGATTTTATCCTTGGGGTTTCTGAGGATATTGGCTATTTTTTGGTTGGTGCAAAAGGCTGTTTTGATATTGTGTTTATGGAGGATTTTGCTAATTTTATCTGTAGTGCCCTTGATATAAGGAAGGAGGGCCATGCCATTGTTTTCTTCTGTGTCTTGGTTTTTGGGGGGTGTTTCTTTTTGCATTAGCTTCGTAACCCTGTTTTGCTGGTATCCATTGGCGATTAACACATTGGAGAGATTCTGTAACTCAGTTGTCAAGTGGTCTTTGTCAGCCAGGCGTTTGGTTCTGGAGATGAGAGTCTTGGCTACGGAGTTTATTTGTGCAGGGTGGTGGTGTGATTGTGCATGTAAGTAGCGGTTGGTGTGTGTTTTTTTCCGGTAGATAGTGTGTCCTAGGGAGCCATCAGGTTTTTTGTAGATTAGGACGTCAAGGAAGGGAAGTTGGTTGTTGGCTTCTATTTCCATAGTGAATTGTATTTTGGGGTGTAGGCTGTTGAGATGTGTGAGGAAGCTATCTAGTTTTTCCTTCCCGTGTGGCCAAATTACAAAGGTGTCGTCAACATATCTGAGCCAAAGTTTGGGTTTGTGTTCTGACTTGTCTAAAGCATTGGTTTCAAAGTGTTCCATGTACAGGTTTGCGATGACCGGTGAGAGTGGTGATCCCATAGGTGCTCCTTCTATCTGTTTGTATCTTTGTCCATTGTGGATGAAGTACGTGTTGGTTAGGCAGTGGTTGGTAAGGTCCAGGATGTACTCGGGGGGATTGTATTTGTTTTGAATGGCTGTCAAGGCTTCATTAATGGGCACTTGTGTGAAGAGAGATACAACATCGAAGCTCACAAGTAGGTCATTGGGATGTAGGTTTTGCTTCTTTATTGTTTCTATGAACTGGAAGGAGTTTGTAACGTGTGAAGGGATGGATTCTGCATAGGGCTGAAGTTGCTTAGCGAGAAATTTAGCGAGATTTTGTAGAGGTGAGCCTATGGAGCTGACTATTGGTCTGAGTGGTGTTCCTTCTTTGTGTATCTTGGGGAGGCCGTAGAGTTTGGGGCATCTGGATGATTTTTCTCTGGGGATGATTCTTAGCTGGATTTCTTCACTGATAGGAGAAGCTTTTATTTTGGATTTGGTGGTTTTTTCCAGATAGGTGGTGGGATCTGTTTTTATAGGTTGGTAGGTAGGGTCTTGGAGTAGATTTGATAGTTTTGCTTGGTAGTCCGATGTGTTCATCACAACAGTGGCATTACCTTTGTCTGCTGGGAGAATGATTATGTTGTTGTCTTTCCTCAGGTTGGTGAGTGCTTTCTGTTCTTCTTTGTGTAAATTGCTTCTGGGTGGTTTGCTGGAGCAGAGGATGTTGGTGACTTCAAGTCTGATTTTATTGGCTTCATCTGGGTTGATTTTGGTTAGGCTAGCTTCGACTCCGCATATGATGTTTTCCGTGGGGATGCGTCTCGGGGCGACTGCAAAGTTGAAACCTTTGGAGAGTACTTTGGTTTCAGTTGAGGTGAGGATCCTGTCTGATATGTTATGTACTGTTTGTTTCATGGGTTGTTGTGGAGGGTGGCTGGGCTTCTGGCGTTTCTCTAGTTTGTGGAGTTTGTTGGTGTGTGTGTCTGTCTTATGTGAGGTCTCAGTTTGATTATCTATATACATGTGTATAGCGATTTTTTGATTTTTATTGGTAGCCGAAGCAGCTGAATAAACAGACTAACTCCAGAAAGCAAATGCTTTGGCAAACTTCACTAAATCATAAACAGATAAGCTGAAGTAAACTTTAACAGCAAGACTGTTGTAAATAACAGTTTATGGACAGAGTCCTTTTGGGTAAGCAACAGAACAGATCAGGTCAGATGCTTCTAGCAGAATATAATTATTACTGTTAAGCATACTGAATATGCTAGTCTCTTCAGATATAAGAAACCCAGGGCTAGAACTATTAAGTAGCCTTGTGCCAAACCAGACCTTTGATCAGTCTAGCCCAGTATATACTAGGTGGGGGGAACCCTTGGCCCTCCAGATGTTTTTGAACTGCAGTTCCCATCTGCCACAGCAAGCATGGCCAATTACCAGGGATTATGGGGAGTTGTGGTTCAGAGCATCCTGAGGGCCAGAGATTTCTCACACCTCGTCTACACTGACTGGTAATGGCTCTCTTGGATTTCATATGGGAGTCTCACCTAGCTTTACATGGAGGTGCCGAAGATTGAACCTGGGACCTTTTGGATGCAAAGCAGGTCCTCTATCACTGAGCAATGGTTCTTACTATTGCTCCTTTAAAATTCTAAGGGAAAATTATGCTCTAGGTTGAACTTCTGCGTGTGATCCCCTGCCATTTCTATCCCCATTATCCCAAGGACACACCAATAAACATAAATAATATATAGCTGTTGCCTAGGGCTAAAAAAATACAAATTAGTTATATTATTTGTATATAAAATGTGTGTGTGTTTGTGTGTACACACACATATTTTTAATTTTATACACTTTTTTCTCCCACTGATCTTGACTTTTAAGTGCAGCATGACACAATTAGATTGCATATGTGAAGCTTTTCCTAGCAGAGAAATAAAGTGCTGGGAGAAGCTTCAAGTATTTCCTTCCTTGGCATGAATCCATAAATTCTGTCAACACTTTTGAGAGAGCCATTTTTTTTGGGGGGGGGTGGTCTCCACCAACCCTCCACATCTCATGTACAGAGGTCTTGGGACAGAGTCTAACTTGAGGTCACATTAAGGCTCAGCTTCAGTTTTACTTGGAACCACTGAAGCCTCTTGCTGCTTCCAAGCATATCTGAAGCTCAGCACAAATTTGAAGATGAGGGGAGCAGGGGAGCAGATTTCATTTGTGATGTTGCCCTGAGACTTCCTACTGCTTCTTAATACCTTTGGTGCACAGCACAAGGTCAGAGATAAGGTCCCATCTCTTGATTTGTTCTGGGACAACCATTCACCAGATTCTCCAAAGACACGTTTGCCATTGCCAGTTTGGTTGACTGCCTTTGTGGATTCCTCAGTCGAAGGCAGGGTTGTTGGGGAGTGGGGGTGGCGGCAGCGCTAATAGTATACATATTTTATAAATGAACACTGATTGCATCAGGTTATTCTGGCATGCTCCAAAATCTAGGCAAATGAGTAGTGACAAATGGCTGTCAGTAGCAGCATGGATAATGGGTGGTGCAGCCACAGAGGCACCCTCTGCGGCACCCACATCACAGCAAGGGGTGGCAAGGTTGTGTGCGAATAGAGGTGCCGGATATGTGGTAGCACCCCTGTTGATGCATCCATATGGCCCCAGCCTTGCCCCCATCCTGTCCAAGTAAGCAGCAGTGACACCAGTGTTGGGAACATTGCTCTGTGGCTCTGCTTCACCTCATGTGGATTTGCCCACATGTTTCTAGAATTACCCACAGCAGAGTTTTATCTGGGCCAAGGAAGAATGAATTGTTCCAATCAGTGCATCTCCACATGGTTAGACATTCAAGATTCCATTATCCTGTTATGTGTACCTGTGTATGTGTGCATGTGTAGGATGTGTATGTGCATGTAATGTGTCAGAGAAATAGATGCATACACACATATATAGCAATCGTTGTGTAACTCCTTACAATATATTGTGAAATACATGCGTCTAAAATTAAATTAGTTTACCATATGTGCTGTGGTCTCTGTGTTTCATTCTAAGAGGGCTTTAAGACATTGCAAACAAGTGACCTGGCAGCCAACTGTGGAAGATGCCAAGCTAGCAGCTGGAGGAACTTTGGTGAAAAGTCCAAACCCACTCTGAGAATGTGTTCATTTACCATCCAAAGGATTAGGATCAGGCTGTAACTGTGTTGAATAGAGTTTTGCAGGAAAACACAACAAAATTTCATATGCAATTGGAACACTTAATGTTTTGCCCCTTTTCATACCTGGGAAGGCTGGGGGCATCTGCTTCATAAATGCTACTTGCCCCCAAATCTGTTATTTGTGAAAATTCATTCTCATGTTTTAAAACAAATCATTGAGAAACGGTGGCATGGGCAGAATAAACAGCACTCTTTAGATTCTTATCATCAAAGGTCTTTGTGACATTTTGTCCCTTCTGTTTGTGTATATCTAGGAATCCTATGAACTCTGATACTGCCTTTTCAAAATTCCTACAATGATGAATCCTGCACAGCTTGAGATCATGCATGTGCTGTGTTGTGGTCAGATACAGTCTGGAAAAGACACACTAATATTGCATGGATTCCAGCTTATGTTTATTGAAAACTGCATGCTGAGGCCAAAAGGAGCATTTTATACTGCTATCCTAAACATATTTACCTGGGAACACAGTAGGACTTACTTCTGAGTATGCATGTCTAGGATTGTGTTGTTTACAATGGCACCTACTCTAGATCAGTCTTCTTCAGTCTGGTGTCCTCAGATATTGTAGGACTACAATACCCACCATCCCTGCCCATTGGTCATGCTGACTGGAGCTGATGGGAGTTGTAGTTCAACAACACATAGAAGGCACCAAACTTGTGAAAGCTGCTCTAGTGCACATGTATTTCATGTAGGCAAAGGGTATTTAAACCACAGGGTGTGTTCTTTCTTGTGCAGACATTAATTTTGCTTTTACAACATGCTTCTCTGTCTTCTTTCCCTAGGCATTTCCTATTTAAGCATGGATCTGGCTCGTCAGCTATCTTCAGTGCCGCCAGTCAGAATTACCCTTTAACTTCCAATACTGTTTATTCGCCGCCTCCCAGGCCACTTCCTAGAAGTACTTTTTCTAGACCAGCTTTCTCTTTTAACAAACCTTACAGATGCTGCAACTGGAAGTGTACTGCCTTGAGTGCAACAGCTATTACAGTCACACTGGCTTTGCTGCTTGCATATGTCATTGGTAAGCTTTGTGTTTCATTTTGGTGCTCTTATATTTTTTTCACTTAATCTGCTTGTATGAGTATTATGCAGGGCAATTAACAGCGCAATCCTATCTGTATTTAGTCCCATTGAGTTCAGTGAGGTTTACTCACAAGTAAGTTTGTGTAAGATTACAGCTAGGGATGTAAGGCAGCATCATTTTCCATTCTGCCCAGTATTTGTCATGTGCAGCATTGTTTGATTGCACTGCAGTTCATCTTCTCCCAAAACTTTGTCATTACTCTCACTTTCCACGGATGAGAATTTATGCATATGGTCCAAACTAGCAGTTACTAGAGTAGACCCACAGAATAAAAATGGCAGATATGGGGCAAGAGGAGGAATGGGAGTGGGGAGCAAAAAAATAAAACAAGAAATTGGGACTAAATCAGGTGTTTTCATGGTGGTTAGAGATGGAGGAATTTATACATGAGATTTCACAATTCCAACCTGATAGAGCTTTGACCACAGGGGGCATCCTCATCCATCAAGCACCTGGTTGCGTTGAAGCTTCTCGTCCACTGTTGGATAGGTATTGTTTCTTCCAATAAAACTAATTATATGCAAAATTATGCATAAAAATTGCATATAAAGGAATCAAGCTCAATGCAATGAAGTATTTCTGCAACAAGTAGCAGCACCTTGCACCCAGACTGGAGAGGTAATTTAAGGTAATTTAGGCTATATGCAATTTTCGCTTTATAATCTGGCTTTGGACCCTAACCTCCACATAAGATGCAATTCCACTGTGCATCATGAACAATATTTTCTACCTTTCCCTGGCTGCAGGGAAGGTAGCATTGTGATGTGTGGATGAGATTGGGGAAAACAATGGAGGTCATAAAGCAGTATCAGGGTTTTCCATAATAAATGTATTGTGAATATGATCCTTGGACTTAGGAAATTTGACCGCCTGCAGTATGCAGTGTGGGAAACATGGGAAAACAGCAAGTGCAGAATGATTCATCTTTGTAGATACAGTCTATGTCTGCTTTAGCCAAACCCTGGTTTTCATTGCTGCAGTTCTCCGGTTTCCTCCAAATTCACCAATTTTCCCTAGTTAAGGGAAGCATTCTTTTGTTTCTTGAGCTGATATTAAGTTCTATCAACTGGATGTTTATTTGACAACAAGAGTCAGTCTGCATTCCTCCTTTTTAAAGTTACATTTGTGCATAAGGAACTGGCTGCAGGAATGGTCCTAACTTTGGTTGCCACTTAGCTTTAGTCCAGATTCAGGTTCCAGAGCTTAAAATCGTGATGGAGGGAAGCACTGAAGATTTGCCTGCAGTGTACCTGCAGGTGGGGCTTCCTCTTCAGGAGAGATATGGCAAGGCTTCCAATTGAAGGGACACTTCTAAATGCATTCAATCAAACAACCTTATAACCTTCAGATTTTCATGCTTGACATGTGATGGTCTGAACAGACCACATTCATTGCAACATTGTGTGCATGCCCCTGCCATCCCTAGCAGTTCGAAAGCACATCAAAGTGCAAGTAGATAAATAGGTACTGCTCCGGCAGGAAGGTAAACAGCGTTTCCATGCGCTGCTCTGGTTTCGCCAGAAGCGGCTTAGTCATGCCGCTCCCTCGGCCAGTAAAGCGAGATGAGCGCCGCAACCCCAGAGTCGTTCGCAACTGGACTTAACTGTCAGGGGTCCTTTACCTTTAAACATCTGGAGGCAGAAACATAGTTTTTCCAGCAACAAATCATAGGGGTCCTTTCTGCTGTCTGTGTTTTGTTAACTTACTACATGTTAAACACAACAGCAGTGTACATTATATATAGGAGTAAACGTAGCATGTTTTATTGCAGTAAGTGTTACCATTATTTCAGTAATGCATAAATACACCTCCATGTTTTATAGGACAGAACTGCATTACCTCTTTCTGCAGATGTTTAAAGCAAGAAATTTGTTTGTAGTAATCAACCAAAGTAATTTAATCCAAAATTGTAATTGTCCCCACCTCCACAGCATAATGCTGGCTGGGACTGAACATAGTCCAAAAGGTCTGGAGGGCATTGGGTTAGCAAGGGCTGCTTTAAGACAAAACAAATGAGCTTCTGCAAACTTTTCGGCTGGATCAGAAACCAACTACTGTAGGGTTCACTCATACAACAAGCCATGGTAGGTCGCAACAGAGTCTGAAAAAATAAGTTGGAATATGCAAGATTAATTAGGTTCCCATTGTTGTTGATGATGATTATATTATTGTTATTGCAGTGCTGTACTTCATCATCTTTGCTTTGTTCATAGGCTCCAAATGATCAAAGGGTTGGTCATTATGAATTGATCCGTAATTAATCATTTGCTCACACCTTTCGGAAATCCTCATGCTAGAATAGAGGAGAATAAATAAATGTTAACTCAACTCATAGAAATAGAATAGATGCCAGGAGGATTAAAAGGGCAGACGCCTTATGGAAAGCAAAGCAGTATTTGTGGAGTGAAATGTCTTCTCTTGTACTCACACCCATGGGGATCCATTTGCCTAACCTTTACACTTCTATCTGCGAGCACGTTTCTCCACTGTCCTAGGCAGTATATGTTTGGTCTTCTTTTCCTCTCTTGTCCTCAGAACTGATTGATAGGTGTGGGAAGAAGATGCTGTTTTGTATGCTAGATGCTACCCAGTGCTTAACAAAGCCTCTTTGCCACTCTGAAAGGGCAAGCAAAACGCCCTGTTGCTTCCTAATGGTTATCTAGTCCCTAACACTGACCAGCTCTTCCTGAAAGGTCAAACTCTCATTTGTATTTCGGATGGTGTAATCTTTCAAATTATGTCTGATGAAGCAGTGAATATTCTAATTAAATAGAATCCATGGGGCTCGCAGAATTGTTACCTTGCGGGGGGAGGTTAAGCCTTCTGTGGTCCCACCAAAAATCTCCTCCTCCAAAGTTCTCTTTGCATCAGGAAGGAAGCCTCCATTTGTATCAGTGGACACTGTTCTTCCCTCTCAGTACAAATTGCATTGAGGAGGGGGAGATTTTTCTACCCCTGGAGTCCTTGTCATTTCCCTGTGGCTGATATTTTACATCAGAGTTGGACAGCCTGAGGGGCCCAATTGCTAACCCTCAGAACTTTCCTCTGCTTCAACCCTGAGCGTGTTTGTGGGCTGCAGTGTGTCCTTCAACTCTGGTAATATATCTTGTCTGCATGGAGGCATGGCCTGGAGAGAGTCGCAAGCATAGCTGTCAAGCTTCCCTTTTTTGCGGAAAATTCCCTTATTCCAGCGCCGTTTCCCGCTGCTATCCCGGATTGTTAGATATCCCGTAGACTGTCCCCGGGACAGGTGAGGCTGCCGATCCCTTATTTTCGAGGCTGCTGATCCCTTATTTTCAAATCTGAAAATTGACAGCTATGGTCCCAAGGAGCAGTTGGCACTGGAAACCCACATTTGACCCATGTGTCAGAGGTTCCCCACCACTGATGTGGTGTTTGAAATTCACCATTCACTTGCACAACATTTTCCGTTTACTAGTTAGAAGAGCTGCTGAGTGAGGGGGGAGGGGAAAGAAGCTACAAGTATGTGTAATTTCTCAGAGTCAAATATTTAAGAGTCAGTCAGGACATAGAATTGAAGAGCTGCAAAGGAACCCTGAAGATAATCTAGTTCAATCCAATCCCGTAACTGAGGCGGGATTTGCTGTGCCTAAACTAAATCTTTATCCAAGCTCTTCATGAAAAGGATCCAGGAAAAGTAATTCTCCATCTTCCCTGGGCAACCTTACTCTATTTGGCTAACTCCTCATTTGGTTAAGATGTTTTATCTGATCTCAAATTACTTTCCTGTAGTTTAAATCCCTTTCATGTGTCTGTCTTGTGGCTGAGAGAAATTTATCTCTCCTGTGGAAATCTTTTAAGCATTTTAATGCTGTGGATCTAACACAATCTTAAAAATTTGCCTTGGCTGGTAACACAAGTAGGAGTATGCCCTGCTACAGCAAAAAAGAAAAGGAAGGAGAAGCCATTCTGTTAAAGCCATCACCTTATCTTAGTCAATTGATCACCTGGCTTTTGTTTGATTGATTGTATCAGGATAAATTTTCATAAGAATAAAACAATCATTCTAAACTAAAAGACAGGCTTTATTTGAGCTGGATTGACACTTAATTCTACTTAGAGTAAACCCACTGAATTAGTCATTGATTTCTCCTAAGCAGTTGGCTATTGAGAGAACAGGATGCTGGACTAGGTTTCCCTTTGGTCTGATCCAGTGGGATTCCTATGTCCTTAAGTATGACTAAGTCTGGATCCAACCCATAATATTTAGATGCTGTACACCCATTTCAGAGCAAAGGTTACCTTAGAAGAAGCAGTTTTTCCATCTTGTATGGCAAGGCACCTAAAAGCTTCTGTTTTCATAAATACTTGTAATTTTAAATAATTCATTTTTTAAAACAACAACAACATGATCCACTGCTATCCAATCAACCAGTAACGCTTTAACCAATCAGAAGATTTTCAGTCAATAAATCTGACTGGTTTAATCATCCAAAACTGCAATCATAAACACACGTACTGAGATGTTACCCTAATTGATTGCAGTGGGACTCCCCCCCCCAATAAACATACACAGGATTGCACTAAGCAGTTGCAATCCAGTGTACCCTTCCTTGAGGAAATGCTTCATTGAACAGAGTGGAACTTATTTCTGAGTACACCTGCATAAGGATTGTACTTTACACACCATATCCTATGCTTGGCAAAATAACCACCAGCCCTGAGTGTTTATCCTCCACATAACTGTAAAGTGGAGCTAGAAATGAATTGCAGAGCTCAAACATTCTATGGATTCTACTGTAGGACCTTTAAAATGGTGGTGCCTCATTGTCAGGATAGGGTTAGGGAATGCCAAAGATGGTGTAGGGATAGGCAAATCTGTCAATTTCATTTTCTCCCAGTTACTCATTCTTTCCAGTCCAAAGTTCAATTTTCCACATTTCCACATCAGCTTGCAATATTTTTCCATTAAGTCC